GCTCCCATGTTTGATTTTAATTCAAGGGCTTCATCCCATCCATCATTTCACCCATCCACTTATATTCCTCTTGGATAGCTACATTCTCTCAAAAAGTAGAAGGGTCTTCAAAACAAGTAAGAAGTGTATAGGTTTCCATTATTTGTCCCATTATCTAACTATATATACTTGTTTTTTCCTACCTGTTTGATTCTCTATCTCTACCATCCATAACCTAAATTTGGTAAAGACTTTAGATTTCTGCTTCAATAAATACACCCAAGCCTTGCAAGGAAAATATTATATTAAAGTAAAAAAAAACTTTAAACCACCCATGGAAACCTCTTTGGTAGGTCCCCACATGTCAGAATGCACACACTCTAAAATTTTCTTTATTTTGTGCTTCCTGCTCTTGAGCTGAACACAACACTTTTTTTCTAGTATGAAATACTTGCACAATTCCAACTTGCAATTACGAGTACCCTTCAATAGATTTCTCTTATGAAGTTCAATCATCACACACTCACTGAGATGACCCGAACGCATATGCCAGAGTTTGGTTGCATCATTATCAGACCCAACTGATTCAACGCCACCTACGAGAGTGTCCCATAATAATTTGTAGATGTTACTTGCAGTCCTCTTTGCTCTTATCACTATGAATGCACTCATGATAACCTTCATAATGTCCCTATCTCTAGCACACCTAAATGAGAAACCATTTTCATGTATTGTAATTTTGTTAATATGAAATGTATCTAACTTTGTCAAAGGCTCACACGCCACCATCGTCCATCGAAATTTTAATTTGTTTCATTCCAATAATAGTATATTATTTATCATCACCTAGTTAAATAAATATAAAATTACCTAATCAGATTGCAATGAACCATTCTCGGAGCGTCATCATGTGGTAAGAACAACCAATTAAGAATCCACGCATATGTGCACTTGTTGAATGAAACACTGAGTATATCTCCTTCACAGCTAGAATCATTGGTTTGAACCATATTTGCAAAACTAGATAAGCCTTGCTTTCTATTTAGATAACCTCTCTTATAATGCCCAATTTGTTTGCAACTATAACACTCTGTTGTTTTATGATCTCCAAATATATATATTTTTCTTTTAGAACCTCTATTAACCTTGTTTCTACCATGATTTTGAGACTCTTTCACATAATTATTGTCTCATTTAGTTCATTCCTCTACACTTTATTTTTTTTAAGAATGAAACAAAATTGTACTAGTAATCACATCAATATTGATAAAGTCTTTCCCCTAGGTCAGAGTAGTCACCAAATAGAGATAAAAGTCAAGTAATGATCATAGAAAGATAGTTTTCTTACCGTCGTCATTAATCTTCACTCCATGTCTCACATGATAATTGATTATGAGTTTAAAGACATTAACATGTCGTTGCAAATTAGATCCTTTTACATCTTTAGTCTGTATAATTCCTGCTTCGTGGACAACTTTTTCATCAACGTCATTGACATGTATTGACTTTCCAAGTTGTCCCAAATCACATTCGGAGTCGTCAGGTCCAGGATATGATGCATTATCTTGTTTGAAACACATAGACAAATCAATTATGCAACTTCTCCTTCATCTCTGCCCAATTGGTATCCTTCATGTCGTTTGGTTTCTTCTAACACAATGCCTTATGTAAACTGTTTTGAGCCAATAGATCCTTAAACTTTCCTTACCATAATTCAAAATTACACATCCTTTAGAACCTTGTTACACCGAATTTTACACCAGGGCTAATTGTCATATAATACCAATTGTTATAACAACAATCACTATATCTAATTAAAGATAAACAAAAATAAAAGATAATAGATACGATTGATCTCTATAAATACTTAACACTACTTACTAACAAACCATAGTTATTTCAACAACGCATAACTATCTCAATAATTTGAGACATACTCAACAAATGGCTTGTAATCTCTACCATGATACAAATTATAGTCTATATAACTTAACAAAAATTTTACAACATTACTTACTAACAACATTTTCTCAATCCTTTTCAATGTCATATTGATGCTGAAACATATAGTTTGTTGAAAATAATAATACAACTAAAATTAAATTAAATTAATTATCTAGGAATAAAATTAGTGATAGACATTTCATTCATAGAGAATATAGACGAATTATTTATAGATTGAGTTGAACTTGATTCTTGTGCATGATATTTTGAATTAGTTCTACGATGTAAGAAAAATGTAGGTTCTTCTGGAGTTGGTAATTCAATTGAATAACTACTAAGATAAGAAGCAACTGTCACCATTGAAGGTCTAGCATCTGGATTATGTTGAACACATAATAGACCAATTTGAATGCATTTAATTACTTCAACTTTCGAATAATCCTCTACAATATTTGGATCCAATATACTCAAGGGTGTTTGATCCTTCCACTGTCTCCAAACCTGAAATAACATGTCAACTTCAAATTCCTATTTATTACCTTGCCTGCATGTGATGAATTTAAACACATATTTGAAATTTAGTCATAAATGGAATATTGAAATTATATATTGTTAGGTCATTACACTCACATAATTTAAGAGCCCATTAACCCCTTCAGCACCTTGGTGTGGTGTATATGAATTCATATTCTTTCTTCCAGCAATAATTTCTAAAAGCATGACTCCAAAACTATAAATTTCTGATTTTTCAGAAAATTGTCCAAGCATTGCATATTCCGGAGACATATAACCACTATTAAAAAAAGTAAATTCAATGTTATTTTATATTAAATTTATGTTAATTAAGAAGAATTGGGAAAATATAAAACATGAGAAATATGAACATTTTAAACTTACTATGTTCCAACAATTCTATTTGTAGTTCCTTCATTTTGACTTATTTCAACAATTCGAGCCAAACCAAAATCAGAAATTTAGGATTCATATTTTCATCTAATAGAATATTACTAGGTTTGAGATCACGATGTATAACTTTGAGTCGGGAATGTTCATGCATATAAAGAATTCCTCGAACAATTCCTCCAATGATATTGAAGCGTTCATCCCAGGTTAACAACTTTTTGCATTGAGAATCTACGAAATTATTGATGAAACAAATTTAAGTTCATATATATAAAAATTTATATATGTAATTCATGAATCTAAATAAAAAAATGAAAGAGTTTTAGATGAAAAATATCAAACCGAATAAAACGTAATCAAGACTCCTGTTTGACACAAATTCATAAATAAGTATTTTCTCGTGTTCTTCAAGACAAAAACCAATAAATGTTACTAGGTTTCTATGTTGAACCTTAGCTATCAATAAAACTTCATTCTGTAACTCCTCAACACCTTGTTTAGAATTTATTGAAAGTCTCTTTATAGCGACTTCTCGTCCATCCAAAAGGATACCCTAAAAATACAATTAAAAATATAATTTATTTATTTTTAAACAATATTTGCATTATTTACTTCGTTTATATGTGACATTTATGTAGAGATTTTTCTTTTCAATTAAGATGAAGTGAAGATAAAAACTTATTAGGAAGAAAAAATGCATTTAAATAAAATATCTACAATATATGTTGAGATATTAGATATAATTAAAGTTGAGTTGTGTGGTCCAAGCCCAAATTTATATAGAGTTTAGGGTTTCTTACTTAGTTTGTTAGTTTACTTAGTAAACAAGTTAGATGTATATAAATACATAGTTTAAAATTCATTTATCATCATTCATTTAATAATGCAATCATTATTTCATATTCCCTCTCTTTATCTCCTCATTAAAAGTGTCACGCACTAACAAGTTGGTATATAAAACTCCAGTTAGATTCTTGATCGTATTTCCAAGAATCACACATCAGATATCATATTTTTGGGATCGTGGTTGCGGTTGATCAATCTCTGCAAAGATGAATGGTAATGGAATTTCGCAAAACTCCCTTCTAACTCTTCACGTCAAGCATTGACTATAATGGAGAAAATAGATGCAATCTCTATTTGCCTTTCATGAAACTCTAGAAGTGGTTACTAATGGTGTTCCTGCGCTTGGTGAAGATGTAACCTACGTACAAAGAATCGCTCACAAGGATGCCAAGAAGAAGGATTACAAGTCAGCATTTTACATCCAGTCCATTGTTGACGTGACTAATTTTGACAGAATCGCTCATGCTGAATCAGCGAAGGAGGCATGGGATATTCATGTCAAATACTACGAATAAGGCGAGAAAGTCAAAATTGTCAAGTTGCAAACTTTGAGACGATATTATGAATTGTTATTAATTAGAGAAGATGAAAATTTCATGAAGGGTTATGGTTAAACCCTAATTGATTAGATGTCGTTGCAAATTAGATCCTTTTACATCTTTAGTCTGTATAGCTCATGCTTCGTGGACAACTTTTTCATCAACGTCTTTGACATGTATTGACTCTCCAAGTTGTCCCAAATCACATTCGGAGTCGTCAGATCCAGGATATGATGCATTATCTTGTTTGAAACATATAGACAAATCAATTATGCAACTTCTCCTTCATCTCTGCCCAATTGGTATCCTTCATGTCGTTTGGTTTCTTCTAACCCAATGCCTTATGTAAACTGTTTGAGCCAATAGATCCTTAAACTTTCCTTGCCATAATTCAAAATTACACATCCTTTAGAACCTTGTTACACCGAATTTTACACCAGTGTTAATTGTCATATAATACCAATTGTTACAACAACAATCACTACATCTAATTAAAGATAAACAAAAATAAAAGCTAATAGATACGATAGATCTCTATAAATACTCAATACTACTTACTAACAAACCATAATTATTTCAACAACTCATAACTATCTCAATAATTTGAGACATACTCAACAAATGACTTGTAATCTCTACCATGATACAAATTATAGTCTATATAACTTAACGGAAATTTTACAACATTACTTACTAACAACATTTTCTCAATCCTTTTCAATGTCATATTGATGCTAAAACATATAGTTTGTTGAAAATAATAATACAACTAAAATTAAATTAAATTAATTATCTAGGAATAAAATTAGTGATAGACATTTCATTCATAGAGAATATAGACGAATTATTTGCAGATTGAGTTGAACTTGATTCTTGTGCATGATATTTTGAATTAGTTCTACGATGTAAGAAAAATGTAGGTTCTTCTGGAGTTGGTAATTCAATTGAATAACTACTAAGATAAGAAGCAACTGTCACCATTGAAGGTCTAGAATCTGGATTATGTTGAACACATAATAGACCAATTTGAATGCATTTAATTACTTCAACTTTCGAATAATCCTCTACAATATTTGGATCCAATATACTCAAGGGTGTTTGATCCTTCCACTGTCTCCAAACCTGAAATAACATGTCAACTTCAAATTCCTAATTATTACCTTGGCTGCATGTGATGAATTTAAACACATATTTGAAATTTAGTCATAAATGGAATATTGAAATTATATATTTGATAGGTCATTACACTCATATAATTTAAGAGCCCATTAACCCCTTCAGCACCTTGGTGTGGTGTATATGAATTCATATTCTTTCTTCCAGCAATAATTTCTAAAAGCATGACTCCAAAACTATAAATATCTGATTTTTCAGAAAATTGTCCAAGCATTGCATATTCCGGAGACATATAACCACTATTAAAAAAAAGTAAATTCAATGTTATTTTATATTAAATTTATGTTAATTAAGAAGAATTGGGAAAATATAAAACATGAGAAATATGAACATTTCGAACTTACTATGTTCCAACAATTCTATTTGTAGTTCCTTCATCTTGACTTATTTCAACAATTCGTGCCAAACCAAAATCAGAAATTTTAGGATTCATATTTTCATCTAATAGAATATTACTTGGTTTGAGATCACGATGTATAACTTTGAGTCGGGAATGTTCATGCATATAAAGAATTCCTCGAACAATTCCTCCAATGATATTGAAGCGTTCATCCCAGGTTAACAACTTTTTGCATTGAGAATCTACGAAATTATTGATGAAACAAATTTAAGTTCATATATAGAAAAATTTATATATGTAATTCATGAATCTAAATTAAAAAATGAAAGAGTTTTAGATGAAAAATATCAAACTGAATAAAACGTAATCAAGACTCCTGTTTGACACAAATTTATAAATAAGTATTTTCTCGTGTTCTTCAAGACAAAAACCAATAAATGTTACTAGGTTTCTATGTTGAACCTTAGCTATCAATAAAACTTCATTCTTGAACTCCTCAACACCTTGTTTAGAATTTATTGAAAGTCTCTTTATAGCGACTTCTCGTCCATCCAAAAGGATACCCTAAAAATACAATTAAAAATATAATTTATTTATTTTTAAACAATATTTTCATTATTTACTTCGTTTATATGTGACATTCATGTAGAGATTTTTCTTTTCAAATTAAGATGAAGTGAAGATGAAAACTTATTAGGAAGAAAAAATGCATTTAAATAAAATATCTACAATATATGTTGAGATATTAGATATAATTAAAGTTGAGTTGTGTGGTCTAAGCCCAAATTTATATAGAGTTTAGGGTTTCTTTCTTAGTTTGTTAGTTTACTTAGTAAACAAGTTAGATGTATATAAATACATAGTTTAAAATTCATTTATCATCATTCATTTAATAATGCAATCATTATTTCATATTCCCTCTCTTTATCTCCTCATTAAAAGTGTCACGCACTAACAAATTGGTATATAAAACTCCAGTTAGATTCTTGATCGTATTTTCAAGAATCACACATCAGATATCATATTTTTGGGATCGTGGTTGCGGTTGATCAATCTCTGCAAAGATGAATGGTAATGGAATTTCGCAAAACTCCCTTCTAACTCTTCACGTCAAGCATTGACTATAATGGAGAAAATAGATGCAATCTCTATTTGCCTTTCATGAAACTCTAGAAGTGGTTACTAATGGTGTTCCTGCGCTTGGTGAAGATGTAACCTACGTACAAAGAATCGCTCACAAGGATGCCAAGAAGAAGGATTACAAGTCAGCATTTTACATCCAGTCCATTGTTGACGTGACTAATTTTGACAGAATCGCTCATGCTGAATCAGCGAAGGAGGCATGGGATATTCATGTCAAATACTACGAATAAGGCGAGAAAGTCAAAATTGTCAAGTTGCAAACTTTGAGACGATATTATGAATTGTTATTAATTAGAGAAGATGAAAATTTCATGAAGGGTTATGGTTAAACCCTAATTGATAAGATGTCGTTGCAAATTAGATCCTTTTACATCTTTAGTCTGTATAACTCCTGTTTCGTGGACAACTTTTTCATCAACGTCTTTGACATGTATTGACTCTCCAAGTTGTCCCAAATCACATTCGGAGTCGTCAGATCCAGGATATGATGCATTATCTTGTTTGAAACACATAGACAAATCAATTATGCAACTTCTCTTTCATCTCTGCCCAATTGGTATCCTTCATGTCGTTTGGTTTCTTCTAACCCAATGCCTTATGTAAACTGTTTTGAGCCAATAGATCCTTAAACTTTCCTTGCCATAATTCAAAATTACACATCCTTTAGAACCTTGTTACACCGAATTTTACACCAGTGTTAATTGTCATATAATACCAATTGTTATAACAACAATCACTACATCTAATTAAAGATAAACAAAAATAAAAGCTAATAGATACGATAGATCTCTATAAATACTCAATACTACTTACTAACAAACCATAATTATTTCAACAACTCATAACTACCTCAATAATTTGAGACATACTAAACAAATGACTTGTAATCTCTACCATGATACAAATTATAGTCTATATAACTTAACGAAAATTTTACAACATTACTTACTAACAACATTTTCTCAATCCTTTTCAATGTCATATTGATGCTAAAACATATAGTTTGTTGAAAATAATAATACAACTAAAATTAAATTAAATTAATTATCTAGGAATAAAATTAGTGATAGACATTTCATTCATAGAGAATATAGACGAATTATTTGCAGATTGAGTTGAACTTGATTCTTGTGCATGATATTTTGAATTAGTTCTACGATGTAAGAAAAATGTAGGTTCTTCTGGAGTTGGTAATTCAATTGAATAACTACTAAGATAAGAAGCAACTGTCACCATTGAAGGTCTAGCATCTGGATTATGTTGAACACATAATAGACCAATTTGAATGCATTTAATTACTTCAACTTTCGAATAATCCTCTACAATATTTGGATCCAATATACTCAAGGGTGTTTGATCCTTCCAATGTCTCCAAACCTGAAATAACATGTCAACTTCAAATTCCTAATTATTACCTTGGCTGCATGTGATGAATTTAAACACATATTTGAAATTTAGTCATAAATGGAATATTGAAATTATATATTTGATAGGTCATTACACTCACATAATTTAAGAGCCCATTAACCCCTTCAGCACCTTGGTGTGGTGTATATGAATTCATATTCTTTCTTCCAGCAATAATTTCTAAAAGCATGACTCCAAAACTATAAATATCTGATTTTTCAGAAAATTGTCCAAGCATTGCATATTCCGGAGACATATAACCACTATTAAAAAAAAGTAAATTCAATGTTATTTTATATTAAATTTATGTTAATTAAGAAGAATTGGGAAAATATAAAACATGAGAAATATGAACATTTTAAACTTACTATGTTCCAACAATTCTATTTGTAGTTCCTTCATCTTGACTTATTTCAACAATTCGTGCCAAACCAAAATCAGAAATTTTAGGATTCATATTTTCATCTAATAGAATATTACTAGGTTTGAGATCGCGATGTATAACTTTGAGTCGGGAATGTTCATGCATATAAAGAATTCCTCGAACAATTCCTCCAATGATATTGAAGCGTTCATCCCAGGTTAACAACTTTTTGCATTGAGAATCTACGAAATTATTGATGAAACAAATTTAAGTTCATATATAGAAAAATTTATATATGTAATTCATGAATCTAAATAAAAAAATGAAAGAGTTTTAGATGAAAAATATCTAACCGAATAAAAAGTAATCAAGACTCCTGTTTGGCACAAATTCATAAATAAGTATTTTCTCGTGTACTTCAAGACAAAAACCAATAAATGTTACTAGGTTTCTGTGTTGAAGCTTAGCTATCAATAAAACTTCATTCTTGAACTCCTCAACACCTTGTTTAGAATTTATTGAAAGTCTCTTTATAGCGACTTCTCGTCCATCCAAAAGGATACCCTAAAAATACAATTAAAAATATAATTTATTTATTTTTAAACAATATTTTCATTATTTACTTCGTTTATATGTGACATTCATGTAGAGATTTTTCTTTTCAATTAAGATGAAGTGAAGATGAAAACTTATTAGGAAGAAAAAATGCATTTAAATAAAATATCTACAATATATGTTGAGATATTAGATATAATTAAAGTTGAGTTGTGTGGTCCAAGCCCAAAGTTATATAGAGTTTAGGGTTTCTTACTTAGTTTGTTAGTTTACTTAGTAAACAAGTTAGTTGTATATAAATACATAGTTTAAAATTCATTTATCATCATTCATTTAATAATACAATCATTATTTCATATTCCCTCTCTTTATCTCCTCACTAAACGTGTCACGCACTAACAAGTTGGTATATAAAACTCCAGTTAGATTCTTGATCGTATTTTCAAGAATCACACATCAGATATCATATTTTTGGGATCGTGGTTGCGGTTGATCAATCTCTGCAAAGATGAATGGTAATGGAATTTCGCAAAACTCCCTTCTAACTCTTCACGTCAAGCATTGACTTTGATGGAGAAACTATTTGGCTTTCATGAAACTCTAGAAGTGGTTACTAATGGTGTTCCTGCGCTTGGTGAAGATGTAACCTACGCACAAAAAATCGCTCACAAGGATGCCAAGAAGAAGGATTGCAAGTCAGCATTTTACATCCAGTCCATTGTTGACATGACTAATTTTGATAGAATCGCTCATGCTGAATCAGCGAAGGAGGCATGAGATATATTCATGTCAAATACTATGAATAAGGCGAGAAAGTCAAAATTGTCAAGTTGCAAACTTTGAGACGATATTATGAATTGTTATCAATTAGAGAAGACCAAAATCTCATGAAGGGTTATGGTGAAACCCTAATTGATAAGATGATAGTTGAGAAGGTAATGCATGCACTGACCTCTCACTTTGATCACGTTATTGTAGCTATTCAAGAATCTAATAACATTGAAACCAAAAAAATGAAAGATTTGATTGGTTCGTTGGAAGTGCACGGGATTAGGATTTTCGAAAGGAGAAGAGTTTAAGACTCGATACAAGCACTACAAGCTCAGTCATGGAAGAAGAATGGTGATTCTAACAAGTTCAAAGGCAAAATCAACATGACTCAGGGCAAGAAATCTTGGTCGAATCCTCACAAGAATGAAGTCGATGATAGAGCTTTTGAATTCTCGAAAAGAGGAGAAGAAAATTCCTATAAGAAAGACAAAGAAGAGAAGGTGTGCGATGCTATAACTGTGAAAAGTAGGGTCACTTGGCCAAGCATTGTTGGTGTAGGAAAGATAAGGGATCGACAAAAGGCAAGGAAGAAGGAGTGAATCTTGCACGTCAAGATTCAGATGATTATGATGATATAGTGGTTATGGATGCAACTGTAGATGACCATGTCAAATCAAATATCTAGTTCCTTAACTCAGACTGTTCGAATCACATGACTAGTCGAAAAGAGTGATTAGAAGATTTCAACAAGCCGAAGAAGAGCAAGGTCAAACTTGCTGATAATAGCTTGTTGCAAGCAGAAGGTATTGGCGACATAATTATTCAAAGGAGCAATGGAGGAAAAACTATGATC